CCTGCAGATTCGACGTGAGGCTCGTGGACAGGTTCGTGGAGAGATTTGTCGCCATCATGTCGTGCTGTTGCGAGTGCGCTGCCGCCACCATGCTGCACATTTGATGCCGCAGTCCTGTTGTACGCCGATGGCGGGCACCGAGAATAATTTTTTCCATTGTTATTAATATTATTGTCGTTACTGTGTTTCGATAGGGGGAGGATTTTGCGGAAGGGTTGGAACTGGTGGCAGTCGTCGTGTTACCTTGAGCGACTGCGGCAACCGCGGCCGCGGCTGCCGCTCCGGGACTGACCGCGCCTTCCGGACCGTTGCAAGCTGCGTAATTCGCCAGACCAGGATATATAGTTGGCTCTTCCTTCACCATGTGCGGGGAATGACCGTCGCGGAACACGACGGCTCGGATCACCCCGCGAATGTGCTCGTCCGGCCAAACGCCTAGTAGAATCCTTTGCGGCCTTCCTCTACCTTTTGGGCGAAGATCTAGTAGAGGACCGGGCGAGAAACGATAAGTATCTTTTCGTATTTTAATTAAAATGTATGTGTATAATTTTTGACTTCCGACTCGATTCAGTGAAAACGAATTTCTATTTTTTTCTATTTCTTTTAATCGATTCAATTTTTGCGGAAAAATTGTATATTTATATACAAGCGAGAGAAGAATCGAAGAATCATGTATAACTTGTTCGACGAGTTATTATCGTTTTCGAACATATTTCGCATTCGAGTCGGGAGAATGTTATTATATACGTATAATTTATGTATATTGGATTGGGTAGGAAAGTTATGTCGGTTTTTGATTTTGCTAAGATAAACAATTTCAAATGTGCAACACGCATTATATATATTTATAATAAATTCATTTTATCCGTATGAAATATATTCTATTCCCGTCTAAACTTAGAAATCAATGTAAACTAACAATAAGCCGTTGTTGAACGTGGTTGAACGTAAAATATATCTGTTTTCAGTGGCATTTCGTATGTATTATATATGAATTTAAATGGGATATAAATGCAATATCGCCGCAAAAAAATATTTGCCATTTGCTTTGAAAAGTGAACGTATCGGTAAACGTTAACAACTTTTCTAATCGATATAATTTAATCCTTTCGAGACGGATTTTTTTTTTCGCGATGAATACAATGATACAAGGAATGTCTTGTCACAGGTTCAGATTGATATATAAATGTAACTACTCGATAATTTAAAAGTTTATATCAACTTATCGGATTATTATAAGGATTTCGAACGCGTACTAAAATATCTGAAACACTTTTGACGCGGATTTTTCTATTAGACAATAAATTGAGAAAATTTCCATAATTGGATTAAAATTTCACCTCTGATAAAATATTCTTGTCTCTTATCGATAATAAAAAAAAAAAAAAAAGAACTAAAATTCATATAAAAATTAATTTGAAATTTTAAGTTCTATTAGTCTCGAAAGGATTAAATTACTTTATATACGTGAACAATAATAATAGTAATAATAATAATAAATTAATTTGCGTTTCGCTCTCATAAAAATCGGCACATTTACATTTCCACCAATCCAATACGATGTAAATATAAAACGAGACAATTCTTCTAATACGTATTTTCTTTTTTTGTTCTTTTTTTTTTTCAGACAAATTCCTGGGATGGACGAAAATGGGTGAACTTACCAGCTCCGCCATCGGCGCTCGGACCTAGCATATTATGTACTCGATTGGCATACAACACGAACGTCGGGTAAGGGATGTCGTATTTCCTGTAACAAAATGTCACGAAGCGTCTCACAATCGGAAGAATTAAATTGCTTGGTACGATTGCAGATCGTTTTGCTTGGTCAATCCGGGTCAAGAAAAAAATCGATTCTCGTAAAAATTCTCGTAAATATTATCGAGTTCGTTCCGCGAAACATTGCCCGATCGAAACGCACTCGCGCTCGCACAAAGGAAAAAGAACCTTTAACGACTACGCGTTATTACGCGCGTACGATACGCGTTTTACGAGCAAGCTGTAAAAGTTCTTAAGTCGACCGCACGCCGAACCCAATGGCCAATTGTTTTCTCCCTGTTTTAACCCATTTACATCCGACACACATGGTTTACCGCCCGTGGTGGTAACCGCGATTCTCGCAACTAAATCATTTTGACCGAATCGCTCGAAACTTTCACGGCAAATTGTTCGCCCCGACAAAACAAACTGTAACGTGGCGGGAATTAATTTCGCTTAGCCAGTTGAAAAATAACTGGCGGTAACTGAAAAACCGGTGATACTTTTGTCTCGAGTGATTAAACCGAT